CTTCCCTGTAACTAGACCTCGTCGTCGGGTTCTGTTCCCTTCTTCTCCCCACTTCGGACTTCAGGGATTCAGGGCACCCATCCACCCTAGGTCGACGCGTGTACCCGAGGTTTCCCTAACCCTTCATCCTGGAGGTGGGGAGGAGGGAAAAACGCTTGGGCCCGGGGGAGGAAAGACAGGGACATGCCATATGATCCATTGGATGACGTTCCGCACTCAGTCCGGCTGAATCTATCTGGTAGTGCACAACCCATGGATGATGGCAACTTGCATCCTAGAACTCCCCAACGTAGTATGCACAATCCGTACCCTCTTCATTTTAGTCCTGTTACTGATGGTAGTCCGGATGTACATCAACACCAGCATACACCAGCACCCATCAGCAGTACCTGGAGCATTGGGCACACTGCGCATCCGCACAATTTGCTATCTCGTAACCAACAGTACCAACCTGGAATGCATCAAGAATACACAGCAGACGAGCATAAATCGGCTGAAGAGGCTGTATGCTGTTAACTGTGCTGGAACCACACAACCCCAATAAAGTCAAGAGATGAAAAGGACAGGAAGCACTAGAGTCTCAGTTAAACAGTTGCTGTCAAAAACCTCCAAGGTCCGCGTGCAGACCTCATGGTCTCTTGCACTATTCCTCCCAGCTTCCTGTTTGCACAGCAACCCGAGCTATCCACAGCAAAGCGTGCTCCTTAACCAGTCGAGCGTCAGGAAGCTGCCCACAGGACAAGAGATTCTGAGCCTGTGCGATGTGGTGAGCCCAGGATCAAATTTGAAGGATGGCTGCGGGTCATGCGGGTGTTCTCGTGCGAAGGCCGTGGTCAGTGTCTAGTTGGACTCCTGCGAGTGGAAATCGCAGAACGAACTGGTGCATGGGGAAAACCAGACCTTCCCAAGAGTACTCGAACAGGTGCCAAGCTGCTCAGCTGATTCCATTTCAATCTGGGGCGGATCATGCGGCATGGAGGCGAAGTCCTGAGGTTGGCCATCCCTTCCTTTGTACATAAGGAAACTGCACAGTCTGCTATCGTACAGGGCGCGCGACTGCAGCAAATAGTGACGCTCAGACTGAGGTTAGTCCAACTACATAGTGCTCCGTACACATTGCAAACTGAACAGAAAGCGAAACAGTGAACGCAAGCATGTTGTACTTGCAAGGCACTACGTCCATCATGTGCGGATCGTAAGACTAGGACTACAAGGCTACTATGACGTCCGGTTGATCGCTCGCTGCTTTGGCGCACCTTGTAGCAGCGTAGCGTGATTGTATCAGTGGTGGCTGGTATCTGCTGTTTATGATGACCAGTGACGACTGATGATACAGGTTTATCTTTGAAGTTCTGCTCTTCTGCTTCTTTCGCCCCCGTTCCTCGATAGAGCCCTTGCCCCCTCTATCGCAATCCCAGTCCTGAGGGGCGCCGATGGCATGCCAGTATTCGAAGATGCTCGGATCTGGGCCTCACCAAAACTCTGACTGATCTCCGCCGAGGCTTTACAACTAGTCAGGTGCGTTGCAGATTTGCGGGGCAAGGACGTGACTGTTAGAGAGTAGCTCAAGCAGAAAGCGAGAAAGTGATGAGTCTTTGGAAGCTCTCCAAACCCCAGGCCATCAACCCTGATACAAACCCCAAGACATGAGCAGTGCTATGCAGTTGTCTGCCCAGAGCTTCCACCTCACCGCCTTCTTTCTGTGCTGTCAAGTGTCGGTCCGTGTCTTTTTGGCGATTACTGAGCAGCCGCGGTGCAGGCAGGGGCGTTGCCCACGCATCCTTGCTCTTTTCAAGTTAAATGGCAGCAACAGCGGCGCCCTCTTGCATCTCCGTGAACCCAAGAACGCGTCTAAGGAACACAAGCAAACCCAAGCTACTACACAGCATAAGCTAACCCCCACCTTACTTTCCACGTACAAGGCTCCTCCTCCTCCTCACACCCTTCAAGGCGCAAAACAAAAACAAAAGACTTGATCCACCAGAACTCCCAAAGTAGAAGGTGCAACCAGATCCATAGTGGCCTTCTTCCTTGCAGCGAGGGACGGACTTTCGAAGAAAGGGCAGCCAAACACAAGCTGCAAGGAACTCAAACTCGTAGTTGGCCTGGGTCAGGCACAGCTAGGCGAATCTCTTGCGCTCGCCATGCTTCACGCACATAGTGCAGTGAGCTACAAGAGGCTTAACCACTTGAGCCTCAAGACTCTCATTACCCATGCTGCCGAAATTGAATAAGTAGGCAAGGAGGATGGTAGCCTCATAGTAGCTTGAACTTAATACTAGAAGTGTGAATCCGCATGGATATCTACAGAGTACCGGACCATGTGTTGCACCCAGCCCTTGGGCTCCAGGACTCAGGAATCAAAATCCAACCGAGTGGTTAAGAATTCCCACGCCCACCTCCTCCTGCAGGAAGTTGCACCCCTGCACCTCACAGGCAGGTGGAAGCTGTCTGGAGAGGGCCTTTCAAGCTTGCAGCTTTGGCTTCATCGTGAAATCTGCGTGTACCCAGAACTGATCTCAGGCCCATAATCAATTGATAAAGAGCCCGTCTAAGTCTAAGTGCGCTTGAGATAACTGGGAGTCACTGTAGCCAGGCCTATCTTTCCAGGCGCAAGCAGTACACCATATCTTGCTCAGTGGCACAATGGGCCTCGCGGTGGGATCCGTTTGCTGACCTTTGCTCAAACTGTCACTATCTGGGCACTCTGGGCTCCAAGCTAACGTCAGGGCGCCCCCTCGTCGTGCAGACAAGTCCGTTGTTGAAACCCACAAGCTCTGATGACTATATCTGCAAAGTATGATGCAAAGTCAGATTGTGGCCGTGGCACAAGAGGTCGCTGTCGAACATCGTTCGCACAGATTTGAGATCCTGCGTACAGCCATGGCGAGCGTGGGCATGAAAGCATCTACAAGGGGGGTAGGGACTTTCTGCATCAAAGATTTCTGACTTGCACCAAACAGCTATAAACAGCTCACAACCCCCGTTGCAGCAGACCTCCTTTCAAGAAAATCCTAACCCCTGCGATGATGTCCGAGGCCTGTCCGGGCTCCACCGCTGTGCTGAGCAACACTAGCCTCTCTGTGCGGCACTTTTTTAAAGCTCTGGCAAAAACATTGGAAACATCACACCTCAAGCTTCAAAGCAAGCCGAAAGCAAACCTCCTGGGAATGAACTCCTGCATGATCGTGTCCAAACCACTGCGGAATATCATCTAGTGTTGGTACTAGTACATGGTCTGAATGCCAAGTCTTGAGCCTAAACGTCGGGCAAACCCCACACAGTGCTTCCGTGTCGAGTTGCTGGGGCAACGTCAGAGAGGCCATGCGTATGGCCTGTACGGGACAGGCTAAAATGCCATGGCAAGAAGAAATGGCAAGAGCCTACGCCTTGTCCTCCTCAAGGGTTCTGATGCTGTTCAACCTAAAGCCCATCCAACCAGACCGCCTTCTTTGAGAGCTCTACCTTCATGTCCTCGACATTCCTTGGCTTCAAGCAGCATTGAATCGGCAAGGCCCTTGTTTCGCACCATCGCCGCATGCCTACCCATAATGCGCAGATCACCAAAACACATGAAGAAGTCCCACAACTTCACCACTAAACGTGCAAAAAAGCTTCTGATTCGCGTCCACAGCAGCGCTCATGTGTGACAGCCTCGGTCCATTTTCACACACGAGTTTGTCTTTTGGATTTATTCGCCCTCATGGTTTCAGGGCCGCCACCAGAGTCGGGATGGGTGTTTGCCAGTTTATCTGGTCTTTGGGATTCGGGGCTGAAGGCATTGCAAGCAGCACGAGCACGTACATCTCGAAGTGGACCTGCGTGGCCATTATCATTTTCAGCAACTCTTCTCTACGCGTGCAGGTCAGGCTATTTCGGCACACAACGCGCATCTGTTGAATTGCTGGAGCACTTCGGTGCAGGGCCGAAATCATGACAGCCGCATTAAACAAACGTATCAGGTTGGGTCAGCTGCAGGGACATGAACACTGACCCAACTTCTGAACACCCGGTCTTGAATCATGAGCATGCACCTCTGCCTGAGGGTAACATTGAGTTGCGCACACCTGAAACCTTGCGCCAGATTTCTATAGCAAAGACAAGGACTCTTCCTGCAATCCTCAGAGCCTGAAGCCCGAGCCCGCCTTCATTAGCTTGGCAAAGATGGCCCGGTCGATGATTTCTAGGGAGTCCTGGGGGATGAGCACCTTGCGCAGCGGATGCCCCAGCTGTTGGAACTGGTTTTGTGCGGAAGGTTTGGTCGAAGATGGTCGAAGGGCACCGGAACTGCGGGAGGGCAAAGACCGGCACGTCCAGGGTTCAGGGCTACTCCATTCAGGCTGGAACTGACATGAACACAGCAGAGCCTGCACGGACCACCACTTTCGCCACAAGCGCTAACTTCAGGAGCAAAATCGGCAACAAGGAACGTGCCCTGGTCTGGCCTCAATGCACATGGCGAGGTCGTGCTCGATGATTGCCTTCGCATGCAGCTGTCTTTTGAGTGATATGTCACCAGTCCTTCACGCTGCTGCTGAGTGGTGCTACACGCTACGGGGTGCTAAGGTCCTGGGCGGACACAGGCAACATGTTGAACTGTGGTTTCATGGGATTGTGGCTTCAGCGGCATGACGGCCCCACGGAGGAAGCACCCTCCAGACATGAGGCTTATTCAAATTCATTGCTTATTACCTGACTTCTAGTAGAATCTTTGGAGAGCTTGCGGGATGTAGGATCAACAGAGGCCTCAGCAATCCACAATCTTGACAAGCTCATGACGTTGCCGGCAACTCTGAGTAGCTTGATCGCAGTCGAATTATGCGTATTGCGGGAAATGAAGCTGAGAAGCCGGCCCAGCGGTTGAAGCTGGTCACCTTCTGAAGCGTCGACCAAAGCCTTGCAAACTTTCAAGTAAGGGCCTGAAGAGGCCTTGTAGCCTGCGCATGGTTAGAAGGAAGCTTGAACATAGCTTGCCCAGAATGCCCAAGCATTGCCACAAGCATGGCACCGTGGAGTTTCAAATTCTTGGTTTCCCTCTGAGGCGCTTTGCGCTCAGCTGGAGCTTGCAGACACAATATCTATGTAGAACATGCGATTTGATAACCAGTCGGCTGACGGTAGCATGGATGTACTAAAATGGGCCAAGGGTCTCCCCAAAGAAGGCTGGCAATGGCAAGGACCGCCGATAGCTAGAGCCCTTCAACTGTCACAGATCTGGGCCTGAACGCTCTTGAGTCGGATTGTGGAAAGTTGTCTTCGGGACCCTCTTCTTATGGCAATCCTTGCCTGAACAAAACAAACAGGCTTGAAACACACTCGCCTTGCAATTATTTGCTTGAGGATGCAGGTCCCAAAGAGTGTGATCAAAAATAGGTTCACGTCATCAAAATCTCCTGGTAAGACCTCTGTGCTGCAGGATCTAGACTGGTATCCCTACAACACAAGAAGTCATCCAGGCAACAGAGCGTTGTCTTTGTTAGCCCCGCCGTCGCTCATGGCTGTCATACTGCCTCAGCTACTGGAAACCTACCTGATTTGAGGATCATTTTAGAAATCCGAGAAGGATGATCTTGGAATGTTGGAATTCCAGACCCTCAAGCAGGTGCTGGCAAGATACCTCTTCCGCTTATGCTGCACATCCTTCACAAGGCCCTCTTACTTGTTCAAGGCACTCAGAGATGCAGGGTTTGGTCTACGTCTTCAAGGTTCGGGCCACTTGGGCCTGAAAACTTCTCAATCAGCAGAGCTGCTGCTCCACAGGTGGTCGATCATGGCCATGTCCTGCAACACATCCCGAACTTCTCGAGCTCTTGCTTCAGCATGCGACAATGAGCGCTTTCTTTGTACCATCAACGTCCAAATCCTTCAGAATCTTGCTGATAATCTATAGCGATAGGAAGCCTGGAATGCAAAGGCTCTGGCAGGAGGTAGTCCAAAATTATAGAACAACAAGCTGAAACAGGGCGGGTGCTGGAACACTTGCGTTACTTGCATAGGCGCGGAAGCACTGCTGCTCAGAATTCTGTCCTTGATTTGATCATTGGCTGCGCGGGCGTGCGCACTGCCAATCCGGAAAGCCTGCAGCTACCCGGTCTGACAATCTGGCAAGGGGGAGTTTTAGGGACAAGGCGGAAATGGGGTCTGGACATTTGAGAAGCAAGGTTTTCACCGGGTGTGCAGACCAGTGCAGTTGGCATACGTTGAACTCCAGCCTGCATGTGGCACCCAAACAAACCCTGTGAGAGGCTTCAGACTCTAATGCGCATCATGCCTGGATCAGCCTTCCCTGCGATGCAAGTTGTGAAACCTCTACTCTCAGATTCTTTGATCGCGCGGCGAGGAGCCTCGTCGATTTGGAGACGCTGCGCTGCGCGATCTCGGCTATGCGACTTGACTAAAAGTCCTGTGAGGTTACAGCGTTTCCTGGCACAAACATTTTGAAAGCCCTTGTAAGCCCGTAATCCCTTGACATCCTGCTCGGGTGTACTGCACCAGCTTTCACCGCTACCAGTAAGCACCCCAGTCCACTGATCCGAAGGCCCAAGACAACGAAAAGACAGTCCGAAAGCCTGGAGCCTAAACCGCAGACTGCAACCACGAGTCGGCTGATTTCCTCCATCCTTTTCTCCAGACTACCAAGCTCCTGGCTCTTCCTAGCCGCTAGCCCATGCTGAACCCTTACCACTGGACTGTGGTAGGGATTATTTATCAGTAGGTCCCCTGCTGAGGCACTAAGGGAAATTGTTCTTTGCAAGCTGGTTACAAAGTTTTTGAAAATTGGAAAAGGGCCAACTCTGTCGCTACCGCAAACGGACATGAACCTGAACATACCTGAACTATCAGACTGCACATTGCAATGCATCACATGACTGGCTTCTTTGAGTCTGCTGCTGGAGCACTATTGCCCCTTTCCTTTCAGGGTTTTCGTTGTGCACAAGATTGCTGAAACAACCCAACAGCTCGACGAGGTTTGAGAGCCACTACTTTCCATGTGTGGGAGCCAGCTTGACGGGGCAACTCTTGTGGGCTCTTGAAAGCTTCTGCGGTCTTTTGAGCAGTAATGGCGCTCGGACTTGCTGTGTCAAACATAAACTCTGGACCCGGATTCTATTCCCACAATGATCTTAGCTAGAAAAATCCTTGAGACACCAACATTGTTCACCACTCTTATAGCTTGTTGAATGATGTCCCTTTGCTATCCTTTGTTACATCGATGCTGCCATCTGCTCCGTTCATTTCAACGAATGGGGACAAATGGTCCTCCTCTGCATTGCCAGTGAGCTGACCGATTACCACATCCTGCCGCAGCGGAGCTTCAACACTGAGATCTTCCAAGTGATGTTCCACCGAAGGGAGTAGAAAACCAGTGAACGCTCTGCAGTTCAACCGCAGTTCTCCATCCACCTTTGGCCCACATCCTGCAAGCTCGCTTTAAAAATGACATTTAAACAACCCGCACAGCTACAGGGTCCAGCAGCTTCCGCGCAAGGAAGCCAAAAGGAAGGGGGATGAAAGGTGTCGCCACGATCAGCGCAAACTTCCTGGACAAGGCCGCGCTCTGCACATGAGTTGAGGTCCATGAGCTGTAAGGTCCCCGGGTTTCCTTATTCTGCAGTCCATGCTCAATTGCACTGCGACTTGGGTTTCCTTACTCTCTTCTTCTCCTCCTTACGCTCTCTCTCTTTTCTTCTATCAGCTAAGCAGGACCCTGGAGCCTGCGGGGGCGCAACATCTACAGGCTTGTCTGGTCGGGACTCAGGAGGAACAGAGTACTTCCCAATCCGGTCTGCATTGATCCGCTACTCTACCGAGCTGTGAGATTGGCCCTTCTTTCGAGGGACGGGACCATAGGGCTTTCATCGAGCACTGTGGTGAATTGTCATGCGCCAAGACCAAGGTACCCTTGCAGACTTGCGGGGCTATCAACTTTTCTGTGGCTCCCTTTGATACGCTAGGTTGCATGTCTCTACTATGGGCTGGGGTAAGTGCGCAAAGATAGCTCAATGGTCTGTTTTGGGCTTCCCTGCCCTATAGGGAGCAATCCCTCCCTTTTCTTGATTCGGAGATCTGTACTCTGTTTTGCTGGCCCGGTGGCTGTCTCCCTGCACCAAAGTCAGCCTCCACGATACTGACGGAATGGCTTGAATACCTACAGGTTTCCTACAACATTTCAGGAGAATATATATGTACAATATATCGAAGGTAATAATACTGCTCCTCCCAAACATTGATGTCACGCTGCTTACTGCACCGCTTGTCTCAGTAGTGGCGCCCCATTGAGGAGTCGTTGTGAACTTTGCAGCTGATCTTTGCCCTCGTTGGGTATTGCTCTTTTCGTTGACCTTTTCCTTTCTGATTTGGTGTCTTCCTGAAGGCGTCCTTTCTTTTCTTCTCCTTCCAATCCGGACCTGATCACTTTGGACCCTGCTGTCTTCCCTTCTTCAGGTTTGCTGCGCTCACGGTTTCCTAATCTGTCTCTCTCTCTCTATCCATACATTATTCTTCTTGTTTGTCTTCTTGTTTTTCTGCGTGCTATGCGCGGTCTTGTTCTCTTCTTCTTCTTCTTCTTCTTCTTCTTCTTCTTCTACGCGCTATGCGTGTCCTGGCAAGCCAGGGCCACACCGGGGCTCGGCCCCAAGCGCTGGTTCCCCGATCTGCGCAGTACTCTCTCACTCTCTCACCCTCCTTCTTCTTCTATGGGCTATGCATCCCTTTGCGGAGATGCTGAGGCTAGGCCTTGAGCCCGCGCACAAGTCCAGGTCTGGTCGACCGCCGAGGCCCCAAGTACCATCCATACTCACTCCCTTTAAGGCGGCAAAGTTCCAATAAGCTAATAATCCTTCTTTCCCTCCCTCCCTCTCTCCCTCTCTCCCGCTCTGGGTCATTCAAGTGGCTTAGCATCTAATGCAGGATATCGTTGGGAGAGGCCTTAGCATCTGCCGAGCTACAAACACTGAAGTCATTGTCCAAGCTGGACCAGCATCAACGAAGACTGATTGAAGCGTGAGCTACCAAAAGCCAAAAACAATGAGCGAGGATCGTCGTCCACAGAGTGAACTCTGCCTAGGCTTCCACTCCAAGCAGTTGGAGATGTTTAGTGGATACAGATCATCAGCGCTGGTCCGCATTATGGAGTTGAGGCACTTTTGAAAAGCAGAGGCCTAAATGCAGATGAAGGTAAACGATCAGCTTAGCGTCCAATATTCAAAGCTTCAGCCTTCAAGTGACAATCAGATCAGCAGCAACATGAAGTCCAACAACTGGCACAATGTCGAGAAACAAAAAGCAGCACCCCGCCGAAGCCCAAAAAAGAAGCTGCGGGGCGCACAACCCTTCAATCACCACTGCGAGTCTGCCGTCCCCACAACCCAACTGCAGCAAGCAATGTTCTTCATGGCTTTTTGGAGATAACCCGCCCCCATACTGAAATCCATACACTTAATTACGCAAGTCCGACCGCAATCGCATTCTGCGTACATGACAGGATTTTGAGCCCTACAAATGACTCTGACAGTGAAAGGGCTGCCAAGTTGCAACAGCCGCGAGTCGCGTAGCCAACGTGGCATTCTCTTTGTCCAGCGAGAGCATGGCGCCTTGGAGCTCTCTTCTTTGCAAGGTACAGGACTAGGCTGCTGTTGAAACAAAATGCGTTCAGAGGACCGATGGTGCTGGTCGCCGCCTCATCGCAGGACAAATGCTCGGAGTAGTGTGTCTTCCATTCCTTACTGCAGGCTCAAGGAGTTCCAGCCCTGCTGTAAGTGAATTACATGACAGTCTCAGTGTCCAGCGCAAGCGATCTAAGCACCAGCGATCTAAGCCACATTCGACAAGCCGCAACTCCCAAATCGAAATACCACGACCAAAACAGGACATGAGGCCACGCACTTTTAAGAACCTCTATTTCTGAAGCCCAACATTCCTAGACATCAGCCCAGCGGCCCAGCCCGCTGAACTTGACCCCTTTCCGCTCAAATGAAACACAGCCTTTTAGGGTTTAGGAGCTCCCGCCATCGGAGTTCATTGTGGGGTCACTGCACAGGCATAAGATCTTGCAATGCTAGCTGGGTCCCTCCGAGAGGTTGCACGGTGTCAGTTTTGACGAGCCGTCACAAATTCATCCTGAGAGCTGAAGCGCCACATTGCAGCATCTGCCGCTGCAAGCTTTGACGTGGTGTGGACTCGTGTCAGGGGAGGGCTGCGCCCCAATTAGGACTCTATGGACTCTGATCCGGCTTTCCGGAGCTTGTTCTGCGCTGCCCACACCGTACCCGCTCAAAAGAAGCTGACGGTCTCCACCGTGAGCTCCACAGCTTCACCTTTCTGCAGGGCCGGCCACTGCACACTGGCGGCCTGCCAGGCTGCTAGCAAACAAAGGTCAAGCTTGGACAAACTTTGGCAGAAGACCGCGTCACACGCTGCGAGCTCTGCTCATGGACAGGATCCCTGTGTGCGCGAAACCCCAATGCAGGAACAACCCCAAAGGCCTCAAAGAGACGCAGCGCCAGAGCTTCTGGGCCATCTGGTCAGGGTTTGCTGGCGTCAAACGGGCTTCCCCACAGGAGTCCATGCAAAGGATATTCTGGCTTCTGAAGCTTGAGCTTTGCAGCGGGCTGCATTGGGTTGTGCTCTTGGCACAGGCGATCTCCCTGCAGTTGATATTGCAGAAGGCTCAGAAAAGTTCAAGTGAATCATGCCTTCATTCGCTACAACGCCTCTTCTGCTACAGCAGACAATCTCAGCCTGAGAGCTTTCTGCCAACCACTCGAACAGATCTGAAATCCAGCAAAGGTGACCGCTGCGCCTGGGCGAAGCGCCTGCACAGCAGCCACGGCAAAGGGAGCTGCTAAGGCGCCCCGAGCCTGGGCACAAGTCTGGGGCAGGCTTTGAAGGGCTGCACTGCATTGCGCAGAGCCCCGCCTTCCCTAGGCCTCCCTAGGCCTCCCTAGATTTCCTAGATTCCAAAGTTCTCGGCAGGACGTCTCAGGGCAGTGCAAGGACGTTGTGGTGCCAGGCAAATCCAGCAGCCGCTGCTGAGAGGCCTTGAAGTGACAACAATTGCAGGGTAAAGCACGATTTCTCGATCCCAGAAACTGGGGGTCGCCTTTGTGGTTTCAGGCTCTGGCGGTCGTACTTACACCGGGGTTCTTGTGGACCCACATCGGGGATGCTATGCGAAGGCCAAGCTGCAGAAAAAGCAGAAGCACTGCAGGTCATTGACCTGCCGTTGCCAAGAGGAATGCCGTGCACAGCCACAATCCCAACACAGAAACCAGATGAAGCCTCAAACCAAAGCGAGGGAAATTCTTGACGAGTTGGCCCGCTACAATGACAACCAGCGCCCTCGGCCTGACGCTGCCGATACGGCTTCAGCGTTCCCAGCACCATGGCCGTACCGAGCGTAAAACCCAAGGTCATCATCAGGCTCTGGAACGAAGAGGCGACCTTTGTTGCCATGGAGCCTCTCTAGAGCGGACGAGGCATTTGTTGGAAAAAGTGCTGGTGTGCATACAAGCAAGCACTTGAGACTCCCCAATGGCTCCGACTCACTGCAGGTGGGCGTCCGCGACCAAAGCAACGGCGATGAGCTTCAGCGCAACTTCAACCCAAACTTCTCGGAAAGCAGCCTGGATTCATGGCAATTGATGGCGCGTGGATTTAGAAGATCACGGAGTATAGGATGTGCATGTGGTTTGGGATCCTAAGCCAAACCTCCAGAAAAGCCACCTTGTAGAGCTCTTCAAAACCACGTTCCGGATGTCATGTTGCTGTTCTGTATCAAATATTCTGCTTGAAATCCTCCTGGCTTTGGGTTCCAGGATCGACAATGGAAATGGAAGTGTGCCATCCTCTTAGGTCAAGATCAACTTCCATTGCGTCCACAAGCAGTGTCAAGTCTGGAGGAGTCTTTGCGCACATGTTGAAAAAGGACCCACAATCTGACTGATAGGAGCGAGCGAGGGATGATAACATGGAATTGACGTTGTTTTTCGACACATGTCAAAATCTGTTCCAAATGGCGCTTAGAAATTAACATGTTGCAGAGCAGGATGTCGTGTCATTCCGACCAGGATGATCAGCGGCTATCCACACTATAATTACTGTTTAGGGACCGTGCTGTAACTCATTTACATAAGTGAGCATTTGGCCATGCAAATTTGTGCAAGCAAGGAAAGCAACAAAATGCACGGACTGCCGGTTATCTCTCATGTGCGTCACACATATGAAGCGAGGCAATACATTGCCCCAACCTCAGCTGAGTGAAAAGTCGGGCAGCTCTGCACAAATGCAATCCAAGCTCGTAGATTCTGTAAGCGGTGGCTTACTGATCAAATAGTGAACATAAATCGAATCCGTGCTCAGCTGTTTTTGCATTAGGCTGCTGCAGCTGTGATCCATGCACATGCAAGCTATCTGCACTTCCTCAATTCTGAAGCGCATCGATTCATGTCAAGGCGCACCAGAAATTCTAGGTGTTACTATGGTCATCCTTCTGTTTAGTCGATTTACACGTTGCAGCTGGCTTTATCAGACTCACATGCCAATGGCTCCGACATTCATATATCCTTCCTTGCAGCACATTACACCGCATCAGTGCTTACTCGCAAGTTGCGGTTTATGTGCCGCCGAGCTCTCAGCAAGAAAAAGATTTCGCTTGGCGGCATCCCGGAAATTTCCGCTCTCTGAACTGATCAGCGCAAACTTTCTGAGAAAATGCGCGGGTTCCTGATCCTAACATGGAAAGTGGAGCGTTCCTTGCCAAGAGTCTGTTGAATTCGCTCATTCGCTGTCGCATCAGACAGGCCTTTAGCACTGCCTGCAGCAGGAACCATGCATCCAAGTTCGGACAATGTCGAACTTCAGCTTCCAACTCTAACTTCAATTCGAATCCCCTCTGAAACCCCAAAGTCTTCAGAAACTTTGAAGGCATAGTCTGTGAAGAGCCAATCCCTGTGAAGGACTCCACAAACGCGATCAACACCTGCATTCGTGATAGGATTTCCCACAAGGTCCACAGAGCATCGGCAACAGCCACCGTAGGGTGTCTTGTCATAGACTGCGCATGGTAACATTTCTGCCAAGGCCAGCGCACCCACATCCCCAATTCTATTGTCAGCGAGTCTGACCTCGTCGGGTGGCCCTGAATTTTGAAAAGCAGTTGCAATAGCGGCTGCGCCAACGTCGCCCATGTGGCATCCTGAAAAGTCCAATAGTCTCAGTGCGTACATTCTGGGTGCCAAAGCTCGTGAAAGCATCTTCGTGCCCGCATCACCAAGACTCCGACTGTTGATCTGGACTCTACTTATGTTTCGGAGACGCTCAAAGCCTTTGGCAAGTCCTGCAGCACCAGCGGAGCGAATGTCGCAGCAGTCATGAATCACTAGCCGCTCCAAATTCTCGAAATGCGGGAGGGCCAAAGCAAGTAATTCCACCTCCTGCTTGGGCAACCTGAAGGCTTGCAAGTCTCTGCGCTGGACTGCACGCTCGACGAAGACTTTCTCCTGCGGGCCCGAAAAACTATACCAAGTTTCTGCTAGCTTAGCTCCAAGTAAAGTGAAGTTCTGGTGCCCGAGAAGCCTCCGTAAAAATGGGCGTCCTGCAGGTGCTGCACGAGCTCCGCATCAGAACGATGAGTAAACTTAAGTGGCAAAGCTGAAAAGCGCGCTGCATCGGTTGAGTAAGGCAGGCCTTCCTGAGAGTCTCCCAAAGCAACCCTCGCTTGAAATACCTTGGCTTGTCTGCTCACATTCAGGATTCAAGGTTAGGGGTCAAGGCTTTACTTGGGGCCCTCATGAATTAAGTTGTGTGGTTGGCCAAACAGCGCCTGGTTATTGAAGTAGGATGAACTAAATCCTGATGATCAAGGATGCCAAGGGTGCGTCCGGAGGCATCGGTGCAAAACCAATAACATGCCCCTGCGTGCTCATCCACTGCATCTCAGCAACGCACCAACCTCTTTCAAAATAGGGTGTACTATTCTCCTTCAAGTCATTGAAAGGCCGCGGCTCCACCTTGCCTGTCTGCTCGCAGTAAATGTTGATCAATCTTGGATGGCTTTGCTTCCACTTCTCGGGGGTCAACTGCTCTATGCGGAACACACGAGTCACATAGGCGTGAGCATACATGATATGCATCGATCCCATAGCCCTTTGGAAAAACTCGTTCTGCACAAACTTCCTCCTGTATTGCGGCAAGCTGATGAAGTCAACAAAGACCCAGTACTCGACCACATCGTCACAAAACTTCCACATCCTCCACCTTTCTTTCGAGATCTCGTCCTCAAAAGCTTCGACAGATTTTACCAGACAGTGGAGTTGCCAGCCAAATGGATCAGCATGTTCCTCGCAGCAGGCAAAAGGAGGGACCCCCAGCAAGTTCAAACTTCCATCGCCCTTCTAGCTTTTGAGCACATGTCGAAAGTGCAAAGGCTTCTCTTCCTGCCAAGGATCCTGAGCCTCCCAACTGTGGGAGAGCGACACAATGTGGACAAATTTTCTCTCGCCATGCAAACCAGAAGCGGAGAAGTAGCGAAGACCACTCGGCGAATACTCACTCGGGCGCAGGCACCTCAATTCCTGCAGATTTACCAAAGCCTCCTTCCCATCCTCACGACGTGGCCACAGCTGTCCTTCTTCTGCAAGCTTCTTCAGATGATCAAACTTCACAAGACGGATATTGGCATAAGTCAGAAAGTCCAGCAAATGCTGAGCCTTGTCCATGTTGTAATCCTGCGCAGCCAAAGGCATGCCTCGCCTTTCATACCAGGGCAACGGTTCGTGCGCTGGGGACGGCATCTGAACTCGCGGAGCAAGAAGTGTGGCTCAAGGACTATCTATGCTATCGGAGTTGTATCGCTTGCAAGTGGCTCTTCTCTGGTTTGCAAACAATGCTTGGGAAAGGCGGCGCCCCGAGTGTTGCTTGCAATGCTGACATGGGTCACCGATGATGACACGGGTCTTGTCGCATGGCTTATGAAGGCTGGCTTCTGGGGGAGATGCAACCAAGCGACATACTTGTAGAAGAGCTCCTTTGCACCAGCCATGATTCCTCAGCGGCTGCCCCCGATGGTCGAGTCTCAGACAGTATGCCTGGAAGCATCCCTCCCAGAATGCTCATGCTTAAGGCATAACTTAAGACTGCGAGTAGATCTCATTGAGGTGTGTAGTGTGCGTCCAGCTGGATCCGTGACACGTGGAGCATGGTTGGCAGTGCACACGGCCTCAAACACGTGTACATCTCATCCAAACCAGACTGTGACACCTGAAAGACCCCAAGAGCGGACCAGACCGTGACACCTGAAAGCCCGCAAAAAAGAATCAGACCACATGCAAGCAGCTTGCATGCATACAGGCGCACGCGCGCATGTACACAAAGACAAACAAGATAAATAACAAGGACAGGTGTACATGCATGCAAATCTGCACCCCAGAGTCTGTCCGACGCCTCAACCTGTTCCAAGACGCAACGCTCCGTAAGCATCCTCCAGATGTGCCAGCACTTCGATTTTCACTTTCACGACGGGCTCAATCGTTTGGGAATGGCGGTAGTGTGTACCCTGCTCCCAGCCTGCTGGAGAAGCTTCCCAAGCCCTGGTCGCACTACACTCCTGTCCTTGTGATGCCTTGCCATCGCTGAAGGTCTGCATCTGCTTTGTTCTCCAAAACCACAGACATAAGGCTGTCTGCCTGACGGACTGACTCGGGCTAGGGGGGGGTTCGGCTACGACTTCTTTGCAAGGAGCCCGCCACGCCCAATCCTGCAGCAACCCCTGGATACCCCTGGTCAAACGACTACCGCCTTTGCGTGCCAAACCAATGCAATTGCTGCCGAAGCCCCTCACACTTCTGCCTGGCAAAGTCTCAGCTCTGAAACGCAAACCTCCAAGCAAAAACACACAATTCCACAATCAGCCAGGAGACGTCGAACTCCACCTTGCTTGAGTTTTGAGAACAACGAAAAACAAAACAAAAACAAAAAAACTGTTTTGCTTTGTGCACCTGCTAAAACAAAAGGTCAAGAGAACCTCAGAAAGGAGCGCATATGACCTCCCCTGGAAGGCCAACATGAAGTGTGTGAGAACAAGAACACAATCGGGCTGTGCGGACGAGGGGCCATCTGGTTTCCAGAACCGTCCCGTGCCGCAGACACGCGCTGGATTGTCCTGAGCTGCTGGAGATGCATTCATGAAGATTTGTTTGGTGAATGTCTTGGATGAGATGTAATCTCCATGCTGATAACTCTGGCTGAGGATTCAATGCTTCCATGTGCTTCCCATAATCATACCCCGTGCTGTGCATTCACGTGATGGCACATTGGAAGCTCGACACGCTCCATGATACGTCCATTCACTCTCTTTTCAGGCTTGCGCCAGCAAGAGACCGTGGAGTAACCCGCAACCCTCCCTCCAAGAAGGCGAGCTTCAGGGCCCCCTCCTGCCTCTCCAGGCGCACAGGGCCCCGGAAAAAGACTGCGCAAAAGGCCACAGCAGAGGAGATGAGGTGACGCGAGCGCAGGGCTTCCTCCCAGCACAGTCAATTTCTTTGGGGCGCTGACCAAACAAAAACTCATCCTGGCTCTCCTGCAAGAGGACGATAAACGATCTTCAGTATCCCTGACTTGGGGGCTAGTCCTGATCGTCAGACGATGCATCCGCCGGGGGCTCAAGGCCACCAACTCCAAGCGTGGCCTTGCCGTCCTTGCTTGCCTGACACGGCACAGTGAAGGTTGAATCGCATTGCGACCAAGTAACCGAGATCTGCTCAACATGTGCATCTCGGTACAAATCAAAAGAATTCAGGAATTCAACAGAAGTGTTTAGACAGTGTCGAGGATCTATGCTAAGTCTTATGGGCTGGATAAGGCCAATGGCGGGCTTCAGAGCGAGCGAAACATGACAAAACAAGCTCCCAGCGGCCGAAAAGGATACGAAGCGCTTGCTTGGCGCCAGAATCCTCAGTCAGCTTCCCGTAATCTCATGGCTTCACAGTTTAGGGTGCAATGTAATCTGGAGGGCCTATTGAACCTGATGATGAGTCAAGACTCAGATGCTGCTTCATAATCAGGTACAAGAGGAGGGCTGGAATAACGATGGCGTAAGAGACCGCGCATCCAAGTCCAATGGCATCAGCCTCAAGCTGTGACATTGAGGTGCCAGGCCCAGACTCAAAATCAATAATTCCTGGCCTTGAGCACTAAAACGTCCACCATGGGCATCAGTGCGACTCAACTTGCGCGTCTCCGTAAGCTTTGTAGACTTCGTTTGAAGGAAGCGCTGAGTACCCCGCCAAGCCAGCTTCGCCTCCCGTCTCTGAGCAGCGCGTGTGAGGTAGCAGAGCACGGAAGGCATGGTCGTGCAGAGGCTCGCCGCCTCAAAATGCGTCTGAGAAAGACCTCTTCGTCCATGCCAGCCTACCTCTGAAACCCTGGGACAGCCCAAGACCGCAAACTTGCCTCCATCCACCTGCTGGCACTGCAGCAGCTTTGCGCAGCTTGACGCGCCGCCGATGAAGAGCAGCGATAACACTTGCAGTGCAAGGCTTACGCCTCAAAGTTGGGCATTGTGGCATTGAGCCGCAGTGCTTGAAGCTTCGGTGCTAACAGGTGTTGACTTCGGGGCAGCAGGGCGAGAACGAGGCATAAAGGCTTGAAGCGCAAGTTAATTGAATGCTCAGCGTGTCTCGGGTGACGATGCTGATGCGGCTCCCATCAGCGAATGCTGTCTTAATAAATTGAGGTGCATGTCAACACGCAAGCCTGATAAATGGCACCGTACAAAGACCATGACAATGCCGCTAGTGTTCAACAGCCAGCTGCAGGTGCCTTTTCCATAGGCGAATACCTCTACGACTGCGCAGAGCTTCCTTAGCAACGGGTAGGCTGTCACCAAACTCTGCAGAAGTTCAGGAAGTAAGTATTCTACTGGTACATGGCAGACTCTCTTCTGTTCATGACAGATGCTACACCGCCGATTGCATGTTAAGCATCCTGACGTCTGTAGTATTTGTGAGTCATCTCCGGGATAACACTGCTTCCCCTGCGAGTGAGCCCTTCCGCCCAGTGTCAGAAGCATTAGCGGTACGCAAGGAGCAGCGAGGGCGCAAAGGGTCCGTGCCATCCTGCTCCCAGCTTTGGGCTACAGAGCTTCAGCATTTCTGGTTCTTCCCTTTAAGCCTGTGGTTCGATCCAGCTCCCGGACAACTTGCTGGGTCAAATATGCCTACAGCATCCTACAGCGATGACACTTGCATGTGTCCTTCTATACAAGCCAGGGAAAAACCCAGGGCAGAAAAACCCTGGCTGCGGTGAAGCGAGATGCAAGAGAGTCACATGTCTGCTTCTGATGCAATATTACCGAGATCTTCCTGATGATGACGATGACGACGGCAACCTAAGACTTAAACAAGTCGTGGCCAAAACTCAGAACTTCACACGGTTGAAGACCGCAGCCGGGCAAGTAGCAGACCCATGCGCTCTTGATAAACTGGCAAAGAAAGCTTCGCTGCGAAGTGCCGAAGCAAGCCAAATTCAACCCGGCGCCCTTGAAGCACCTCATCAAGCCTAGACAAAATCATTGGCACCTCAGGCTTACGGCCGGAATCCAACAATTTTATCACTGTTTCAGTTAGCCTCCCATACAGCGCCAGCCTGCCATAGGCACACTCCAGGCTTAGGGCATCTCGGACACCACCGGCAGTGAACTGAAGCCACTGGATGTACTCCTTGCAGCAGCTTCGGGCTTCGAATGCGAACGAAAACATGTGGTGAACTTCAGGTCACTCAATTCGGGGTTGTGTTCAAGGATTGTGCTGCAGTCCCTCCGTGAACTTCTCCTGCTCCCAAAGGCTGGAGGAAGCTTGGTCGTCGGTCTGCGGCAGTCCGCCCAAAGCCACCAGCACACCCCAAAGCTGTCCAAACTGCCTTGGTTCATTGAGGCCCGTTTCGTCTTCACTTTTCGTCTGAGCACCGGCCCTGAACCCTTTCGAAACCATTTGACAGGCAGTACCAAGTACCACTCCGGCCGCTTTTGTAAAACAAACACAACCGGCTCTCGCAAAAGACAGTACAATACAGACTCAAATCCCTGCGTCCTCAAAAGATATCTCAAGATCTGCGGGGACTTTACTCAGGCTAAGGGGCAGAAGCACCGATCCCTGGGCCAGCAGCAATGGCCATAGTGCCTGGGCCCAACAGGCTTTCCTGCTTTCCTAGGCTAACCGGATTGACGAGGGCGCATGTTTTGTGAGTGAAGACTTTTTGGATGTACAGAGAAAGGCTTTGGTTCAACAGTAAGCCCCAGCTGCCTTAACAGATACTTGGCCGAAGAAAGACGTTAACAGGCTCCATGTCTTGGGGCTTCGGGCTCGGAGCCTATTGATGTCACACTGAACCAACCAGCAGCATCAATGTGGATTTCCAAGAAACTATCCATAAATTGTTTGGGGTACTATTCCCGCGGTCATGGCCATTCGTCAGTGTGTCTCAATGCATATGCAAGTGCATATGCAAGTGCATATGCAGGTGCGTATGCAGGTGCGTATGCAGGTGCATGCAGCCTTGCTACGTCTCTGGCTTTTGGCACCTTTGGCCTCGAAGTGACATCGCGTGCGCTGCCACTCCTGTCTTCAATATGCTTCAATGGCCACCTCACCTCTTCGCACTCACTTCGTCCATGGAAGATTCGTGATTCTCGGGATTCCCTTCAGATACAGGTCCTGGGCGTGTTCGCTCATTCATGGAGATAAGTCTG